TCTGCTTCTACTTTACTTTTCTCTGTAGTATTCATCGCCTGAACATTGTATTTATTTCTTCTCTAGAAGACCTAGTTCCATGAACTTTGTTCTGTTTACTTTATATCATCACTGCCTTAAGAAGTGCTTACACATTGTTGGCATCCAAAAAATATGTATATGGATAAGTGAGATGATTGGAATTTGTTTTACTCCCATTTTCAGTCTTTGAAGTAAAATAATTTATGTACTAAATGAGATAAGGGCCTGCATATGGAAATATAACTTTTCTCAGGGAAATCAGGGAGAGAAAGACTCGACAGTTGTTAAAAGGTGTGGAGCAGAGTTATTCCAAGAGCTCAGTTTTAGTTTTGTGTGGCGGTTGCATTTTGGCGGTATAAAATTAGACAGGAACATCACAGAATCGTAGAAAGTTAGAGCCAGAGAAAACGTTACAGAAACGTCCCTACCACATCCGATCATTTCCTCTGGTATCCCCAGCCTGAATGCTACCCGATGTAGAATCCAGAAGTGGACACTGACCTGGGCTGAGAGAGCCCCAGGAGAAGCCTTCTATTGTAGTTCTGGCTTCAGGAGCAAGCAAGGAACTCATCCTGCTCAGCGAATGTGCAGAGCTTTACATCCCCCACCTGTGGTAGGGATCTGGATATTGAAGGACTTAAATGAATATTTCATGGGAAGGACAAATTTAGACCAGAAGCCAAGTTTAAGTGTTATTAGACATGGGTCACTGAGAATAATTCTTTTAAATTTTGTTTCAATTCCAAACTCTGATATAAACACATAAGTCCAGATGAATATATCTTATCCACACTTCTATCTAATGGTGGTTTGGCTCAGTCAACATAGATCAGCCTTTGGCGTCTGTGACAAACACATTGTCAAGGGTTCACCACACCATTTTCTCTTCCTGGACACACAGGGAACTAACGACAGCCTCCCTTGCATTTGGACTGGGGCCATGAGATGAATTCTTGCCAATGGAAGGTGAGTGGAAATTAATACCGCTTGTCTTTCCCAGCCATGTTGAACTTGGAAGGCATGTGTTCCAGTTGGCAAAGCTGCAGGATAGACTGCGTGACTTGCACTGAACTGTGCTGTGGGCCAGAAACAAAATTTTATTATGCTATTCCACTGAAGGTATTTTTTTTTAAGTTTATTTATTTATTTTTTTTATGGGGCAGGAGTGAGGTAGACAGATACCCTCAACAGGGTCTTGCTATATTGTGATCCTTCCCACAGCCTCCTAGCTGGCCAAGATCAGATCATGTGTGTGGGCATGTGTGGAGTATTTAGGTCAACCCAGGATCTAAACTCGGGTGGCCATGTGGCTTCAGTATCACAGAGCAGTGCCTCACCACCTACACTACTGTGCTAAACCTCCAATGAGAATAAACAATTTTTTTTTTTAGTTTGCCAGGGTGTACATGCACTCACTGGAGAGAGAGAGAGAGAGAGAGCAAGTAAGAGAAAAAAACTGAGAAAGTACCCCCTCCCCCATAGGGAATGGTCATGCCACAATCCCTTCTCCATTTCTCCCTCCTTTTAGCATTTTGGGCACACACACATGTGACCAGTGTGTTTTTCGAGCTGCCAGGTACAGGACTCAAACTACTCAAACTGCACAGTTGGCCACGTAGGATGGCCTGAGGTTTAAGGACTTGTTGTATATCCTAGCTGGAACCTAACTTTCTTTCCTTTCTCTATGCTATTTCCACAGATCCACTTACAGTGATAACTTTCAAATCCACATCTCCAGCTCAGAATTTCCTCAGAGTTTCAAATTTTTATTTTCACTTATTGGACAATTCCAGTCGTGGGTATCAAAGACTCTTAAAATTAAAGCACACTATCTTCCTCTCTGAAACCTACTGTTTTTCTATTGCTTCTCTCAGTAGTGGTATTTAAATCCACTCTTAATTTTCAGTATTATAAGCATGTTCCATTTGGCAAAACTGTAGGATGGAGAAGCTGACGTGACCTGCACTGGACTGTGCTGTGAGCTGGAAACAAAACGTTATTACGTTATTTTACTGAGATCTTTCTTTTTTCTTTCTTTTCTGAGATTATGAACAGGAGAAAAAACTGAAACGAAACAGGAGGCTCTTTACATTCTCTGAGCAGGATGAGTTCCTTGTTTGCTCCTAGAGCCAGAACTACAATAGAAGGCTTCTCCTGGGGCTCTCTCTGCCCAGGTCAGTGTCCACTTCTGGATTCTACACTGGGTAGCATTCAGGCTGGCGATACCAGAGGAAAGGATCACTTCACCACTAGTTTCTGGTGCTGTGAATTCTGACCTTCTTCCCCAATCTGCATGCTACTATGGACTTTTCAGAGCGCTCAAGTTTATGTGCCTCCCGGCCATCTAGGGTTTTTTTGTTTGTTTTTGTTTTTGTTATTTTGAGCAATTTTTGCTGTAGGGCATGTGCACTCACCAGAGAGACAGAGTCAGAAATGAGAACTCACCCCCCCAGAGGGTATGGCCACGCCACAGTTCCTTCTCCGCCATCCTCCTCTCGGGATTTTGGGCATAAACACACATGTGTCTGGAGTTTTAAGCCACCAGGTCCAGGACTCTATGGGAGTCCATTGACATGCCATCTGCTGACCCCCATCCAGTTTTATAACTGTGTTCAGCGAGACAGGATGAAGTAGGCTTACTCCATTTTACCCAAAACCAGAATTTGTTAGATGATGTTTAAAGCCATAGGACCAGATGAGATTACTCAGGGAAATTGTAGATAGAAATAAGAAAAGGGATGAGGACTGATCCCTAGGATTCCAAAACTTAGAAATTTAAAAAAATGAGAAGAAACTATTAAAATAAAAGCAGAATACTTCCAGTTTTTATTCCTGCATATAAAGAGCTTAGAAGTTCCCACTTCATTCTAGCAAGTAAAATCCTAAATCAAACTGAAAAATCAACAACTCTTCTTCTTCCCATTGTAGAAGTCCAGGCACGGAGCAAACCGCTATCCTGCAAATCAGAGAGGCAGACAGGCAAAGATAGAGATCACAACTTAGCAGAGCAGAAACTCACAAGTAGAAACCTCCACAGGAACCAGCGTCAGGTAGGACAAACTAAATCGTAGCTGATCAGTTCTGGGGGATTGATGTGGAAAAGTCTGAGAATCGAATTCTCCAGAGGTGCCACAATTTCAGAGTGTCCCCCCAGGAGCTCACCCAAGTCTTCACAGTAAATAGTGTAGTGCTTCCAGCACAAGGGGAGGGGGAAAAGAACTGTGTTTAAATGCATTCAAGTATTTAAACTGTTGAGGCAAAACAAAACAAAAAGCAACCCAACAATATAAAACTCTGTAGCCTACAAAATTATTCTTCAGAAATAAAGGAGAAATGAAGACTTTCACAAATTGAGGGCATCTGTTGCCGACAGACCTGCCTTGAAAAAAATGTTAAAAGAAGCTCTTTAGGGAGAAGGAAAATTTGTACGTCAAAGACTCAGACTTACATAAAAGAATGAAAAAGGAACCAGCAGATGGTGTAACAGTTATGTTGTTGGATTCCCACATAAGTGAGCGCAGTTTGAGTTCCAGACCCAGCAGCTTGAAACTCCTAACAGGCGTATGTATGTGTATGCCCCAAGTCCCAAGAGAAGAATGGAGAAGGGATTGCAGTGTGGCCACCCCCTGTGTGTGTGTGTATGTGTGTGTGTGTGTGTGAGGGGGTGATTTCTTGCTTTCTCTCTGTCTCTCTGGCATGCACACATGCCCTGTAGCAAAAATCTCTCAAAAAACTTAAAATAAAAAAAGGGAAAAGAATCAGAGAAGGGATAAGTGAAGGTTAAAAACAAACCAACCAACTAACTTGGGACCCCAAGATGGTGTAATGGTTATGTTACTGGACTCCCATGTGGTCGACTGCAGTTTGAGTCCAGGTCTGGCAGCTTAAAACTCATGCCAGGCACATGTGCATGTGTGCCTAAAATTCCTGAGGAGAATGGAGAAGGGATTGCAGCATGGCCATTCCCCCTGGGGATGACTTCTCGTTTTCTGTCTTTCTGTCTCTCTGGCAAGCACACATGCCCTATAGCAGAAATCTCTTAAAAAAAAAAAAAAAACCTTAAACTTAATTGAGCTAAGAGATAACAGTTTATTTAAAATTATACATAGCAACAATGTATTCAATTGTGTACACATATATTTGTGTATGTTTATGTATGATTGAAATGAATGACAGTTATGTTTCAAGGAATAGGAGGAA